TTATTTCCGCCTTGCATACATATTTATGCAAAGTAGGAGCTACCATTACATGACAGTTTGCCTTTATGTCTCAATGATGGAAAATATGGGGGGGAGATATTGTGGCTGTATGCTCTGAGGGAAAGCATTTGGAAGGAAGCACTGAAAGCATAAGTTATGCTGTACAACAAATAAATGCATAATAAAATTATTACACCCTGTAGTATGCTACAGATACGTGACGTTTATCGTCGGTTTTTACTTAAAGGTGTTTTTTTCTCATGCCATCACCGATGAAAATCCTCTCTCACTCTTTCGATGTGACCTCAGAGCTTGAATCGAGGGTGCAGGGTTGCCACATAGCAGGGTTGCTGAAGTCATGCGCACACAACTTCAGAGACCGCGACGAACCGGTGCAAAACCGCGAAAGACTCTCGAAAGGTGAAAAAAAAATTATTTGAGGCACGAGAATATTGTCATTTCGTCTCCTCTCGCCCCTGACCTCGAGGGACCTCGAGGGATCTCGAGGCTGCCCAGACAGCTCGTCTGCGTTCGGGATCAAGGTCCGAGATGGTCCTTATCTGCCAGATTACGGAGGCGGTCGTCCGATTTCGTTGCATCTGTGAGGACCTGTTTCTTCGCCTGTGAGAGCCTGTTTCTTCCGCAGGCGCCTGTTTCCTCGGTCGGAACTCCTTTCTCCCCGCTCCTCGCGTCTAAAAAATTAACCAGTTTGACTTCACGACTTGCCGATATTGTTTTTTTTTTCCAAGATTGATGATATAAAAATTCCGGAAGGGTATTTTATTTCCGGGAAAGATGTTGTTCCTCCACCGATTCATCAAGTCATGCCGAGATTCGATCATGGAGGGCCAAACGTTTGACACCAGACTGCATATGATGCCTGAATTTTTGCTTTAATGGATATCTTGCAGCACTGATCTTAAAGAAGTGTTAAAATATATAACCATATGGAGCCATGGTGATTCGTAAGAGAATCCGCACAAGTCCAATCGTATCGTAAAAATCCGAACCGCTAAAAAAAACAACAAAAAAACAACTTCTTTTCCAAAGATAAACTCTAAAACAAAACTTTTTCCATTTAATTCCTGCCCCATTTTCTCAACTCGCCAGGCGGTTGCACCCACGCCATCGGCTCATTCCATTGACTTTTATCCGCGGCGACGAGAAAAAAAAAAAGTCGCGAAGGATGCAGATCGTGCGGACTGAAATAATTCTTAGCGAATAAGTGTCCCATTAATTTCCAAGTTGTCGCCTCCACTTTGATGGATCGAATGAGGGTCTAGAAAATGTGGAAACCTTGAAAATGGTTTTCCTCATTTACACATTCCCGTTTACCTGCATACGCAATCCCCCAAAATCCAGGATTATTTTTGCGAACAAGCCAATGCACTAAGTGTCGAGAAAGAGGCCAACTGTGGCAACTTTTGAGCCTGAAGTAACCGTTTATTTTGCTTGTTGTCTGGCTTCCCTCGTCCACGAGAAGAAAATTTTGACTTTTTTTTCCGAAATCATACAAAGTAACTCGAAACGCCCAAAGTAAATGGTTGCGTTGGATCCAACACTTTTAAAGTTTCATTTTTACGAGCAAGAAAAAAAAAAGTTTCACTTTGAATTCTGTCAAATCGACATTCGAGAAATTCGAAAGACTTCTTGGATAAAACGAACTCCGCATCGAAGAAATGAAAATGTCCCCGGGCATGTTCCTCGTAGAAAAAAATCCCGCTCTGCTCTCACGAAATCGACAAGAGGAAGTCATTTCTTATTTCTATGGTCATTCTCATCGGCGAGATTAGTTTCTTTCTAAATAAAAAAAAAGAGTGGTCGTTCGGGGAGTCTCAGTAATTTTGGTTCTACCAAAGATTTTTTTCCTTTTCTTTTCTTTCTTTTTATTCATTTTCCGGAGATTTTTTTTTCTCGTGGAATTTTCCGCCGTTCCAGCCGGACAACGTAACAAACTAGAGGCAGAAGTACCGGAAGAAGTCCAGGAAGAGTTGCTAATGCATGCCAATACCACCAAAGGAATAGTTGGAAACATGGAGGAAATAGAAATTTCTCAAGGAAGCAATTTCTGTCCGTCACTTCGTTTCCCTGCAACGCCGAAGAACTTTCACCGGGTAATTCCGTGCCGTTTCCTTCGATGATCAACGTTCATGGCGCATGCGAGACGGGAGAAGCGATGGAGACAAAGAAGAAGCGATATTTAGAAGGTCCAAGCAACAATTATTGCTCATCAAATTCATCGCTGAGAATTTTTAAAATAGATTTTAAGAAGGTGGCCATGGAAACTTGGAATCACGATGCTTCGGCCTTTATTTTTGGTACTAGACGTTCAAAGCCCTTCGCTGCAATCGAGCGGAAACGACTTATCCAAAAGCAATCTGTACTCGAGTACCGATCGCACTCTCGCCTAGCTTTTTTCCTCGTGGAAGGTTCATGGGGTGCGTTTGCGTCAGGTCACGGATTTATGGACATCGTAACACGGATTTATGGACCAGGATAGGAAATTGTGATGCTCTCGTCCCCTCATATCTTCCAGTTTCAAAGACCTTTGGAAAATCAAGTCAATAAAAAAGAAAGCAAGTGCTGGTGCCTTCTCGGAAATTAAGGACAGCACCTTAATGAATTCTAGGAATTTCCACAAAAAAGTGACATGAACGCATCGTCATTGTGCAGAGGGGAAGCACTAGGATGGTCGGAAACGTGAAGATCAGAACTTCTCTGGAAAAAAAAATGAAAAAAAGTAAAGGATGAAGTCACAGCAATTTGATGAGGGGAAAAAGTTATGAAAAAATAATCTAAAGCCGACAGTTTAGTAAGATAAAAGCGTTCGTGTCTGCACACAACCTTTTCCTCGGCATGGCCGTCTGTGCTTATCGGTGTGTGCTCGGTATTTTCCGGGAAGAGAAACGCTGGGAGATCGTCGGCGTTCATTTCTGACGTTGGAGAAAGAAACGCAGACGCGACGAAACAAATCATCGCATATCTTCCTCCAAGAAAGCCAACATCTTGAACGGCACGAAAGGATCCAATTGGGCACACTCACCCAATTGGGATGGGGATGCAAGCCGACATCGACTCTCCCCTTTTCGCTGTTGCGTCCCGAACGTCTATCAGTGGCGGATATCAGCGGTGGGATAAGGGACCCCCCATGATCGCCCATTTGACGAAGTCAAATGGAGTCCCAGATGATCACTATGATATGGACATAGTTATTCCACATGTCCTGCTTTTTTTCCGGTAACCCAACCGACTCCCGCTGGCTGGATCAGCAAACCCTAACCCCCCCTCGCCCCCTACCCCTCTTTTCCCTCTTGCCCCCCTTGCCCCTCCCTACCCCCCTTGTCCCTCTTGCCCCTCTCGCCCCCCTCACTGTCCCTTCCCCCTCCCCATGCGCTTGCTGGGGCTGTCTCCTCTCCATTGGATAAATTTCGTATCCTCTCTTCATGTTATTTCTCTCTAAAATGAAGCACGCTTGATGGAAGCTAATTTTAAGCAGCGATATCCTCGAAGAAACTCTAACTTTAAACTCATGATCCCTCATATGGATACCCGGGAGAAGTTACGTGTACTAGTATGTTATATCTGTCGTCCTAATCGGCCTTCTCGCCCTTGTTCTAGAATGCATATTTCGTCTTTAGACGCCATGTACACCTTCTTATACATCAATAAATCGGTTTGCCAACTCAGAGATGCGTACCTCAGCATCCACGCGTCGTATGACTTCGAATCTTGGTAAAGCAGTTCACCACACCATTGTTGGGGAAGGATTCCGGATCCATTACCATCCAGGATCATTAGTGATGTGACATCCCAATGGCTCAGCGAATCGAACCACCACGATTCGAGGCCATACGACCAATAGATGCTGAGTTACACATCTCTGAGTATTCAAACCCCTATTGGTACGTACCCCGGTATTTTGATAAATATTTTATAGAACCCTATATTCCAGCACTGATAGCACTTAAGAACACATCTCCGGAATCAGAGTGTGAATTGTTATTCCACCAGTCGAAAAATGAGCTCGTGGTGTTTCAGGGCTTGAGGAGGGTAATTACTTGAATACTTTCAGTACTTGGTTAGTCGCCAATGCCCCGAAAAGGTATTCCCTGCACGCTTTACTCTAGAAGTACTTGCCAATAATAGAGGCTCTGCTGTTGAAACCCCAAAAAGCAGACCCCAAGGGCAAGGCATTGCCAAGCGTTGCCATTGAATGTCCTTCAAGGGTAAGGCCATTTGCACTTCGTACATCTAAATAGGTTCCAATTTTTGCTCTTGACAAGGTCAAAACAGAATTTTACAATAGATATGGTGAGATTATTATGGACTCCGAGTTTCGCAAATGGAAATGGTAATTTCATGTCATCTGGCACGAGTCCATGAGCGTAATTCATTCAATGATTCGGCCAGGAGCCCATAAAACTTATAACGGATGAAAGAAACTCGCAGGCTCTGTGACTTCTTGAATCGGCTCATGTCCAGAAAAAAAAAAGTTTCTCGGAAAAACGCGTTCATCCAAGTGACTTTTCTTGCGATTTCGGTCGAGCGAGCATGCACCTCCATCGGCTGATTTGGCAAATTTTCTCATTATGCACGCGCTCGACACAATCGAGCCGCTGATTATCAAGTTCACAATACCTCGTCCCCATTAAAAAGGCACATTCTTTGTGCTGCAATTTGACACGTGCAATTTTATTAGGATTTTACTTGCTTTTTTCGATATTTCCGCAGGCGTCTTGGGTAATAGTGATCAGGTTCAATCGTACTACAAGTCAGTACTTCAGTGAAAGTGGTTCTCGATGGAGCTAGTGCTAATTCGATGCTTCATAGAACAGGCTACTGAGGCGAATAAAACCAATTGACGCGTCAAAAAAATCCTCCCAGTTTTCGCTTTGGGGCAAACTGGTATTTTCAGTTATTTTCTAGCCCTTTCAGCATTTGCTTAGGACTGTGTATTTTCGAATTGCTTGGGTGAATTCATACAGTCCTCATTTCTTCAGATGGGTTCAGTTCTTCGAAGATTACCAGAAGAAGCGTTCTGTGACGTTTCACTTTGAGAAGTTATGGCGTTCGATGAAAGTATGTTGTAGCTCCATTCAACTCTTCATCTGGGCGTAGAGTTCTGCAGTTTTCTCTGGCAAGGATGTGCAAAAAAAATTGAATGAGCATTGGAGGACGGCGCTTTGAGGCCTGGGTTGAGGGGCCAAAGAAAACTTGACTTAGTTTTCACTCCAAACACTGCGGACGCGACTAAGAAACCCCCGTCTGCTGGCTTCCTCACCCGGCGACTCCATCCGTCCTCTTTCGCTGACAGAGAAGCCTAAGAGACACAACCGTTGAAGCTTTGTTTTTGTTTTTCCTTTCAGGGGAGCTGAAGCCATCGTGCATGAAGGGGGGAGGGAATGGCTCCATGGAGTTGTGCGAGGGTTGCGGACAGAAGATCTCGGATCGTTGGGTGATGAGAGTCGGAGACACCTCGTGGCACGAAGCCTGCCTCCTTTGCTGCGAATGTAGGGGGCCCTTGTCTCATTCCTGCTTCATCCGCGACGGGAAACTCTACTGCAAACTAGACTACGATAGGTGAGGGTGCCTGCGCTGACGACGCTCTGGAACGGCGATGAAGGGTCGCCCTAATGAGTTGGATTTTATTCCAGGATTTTCGTCGTGAAGTGTGCTGGCTGTGCCCAGCGGGTCATGCCCCAAGAGTTGGTGATGAGAGCGCAAACGATGGTTTTCCATCTCCCTTGCTTCGTTTGTGTCGCTTGTTGCACTCAACTCCAGAAGGGCGATCAGTTTGTCATCCATGCTGGACAAGTCCTTTGTCGGGCTGATTTCGAGAAGCAATTCTTCATGTTCCCCCAGTCTGGGATACCTGGTATGGAACCCCTCGGCTGGTCGAATCTCCCCACCAGGAAGTGGGATCGAATCCACGAATCCCTTGCTTGCATTGTTGCAGGGGAAATGCTGAGCGGAGAGGAAGGGGGAAGGCCGACTAGGGACGGGAGAAGAGGTCCAGGGAAAAGGCCGCGAACGATCCTCACGTCGTCTCAGCGACGTCAGTTCAAGGCGTCCTTCGAGATCAGTCCTAAACCTTGCCGAAAGGTGCGACCGAGGCCAAAGAAAGAACCACTCCAATGGACGGACGAAGGAGGAGTGAATTAAAGGAGATGATTTCCTTGTTTGCGATTTAGGTGCGGGAAGCCCTGGCGAAGGAGACTGGCCTCAGCGTAAGGGTCGTGCAGGTGTGGTTCCAAAATCAACGAGCGAAGATGAAGAAATTGGAAAAGAAACAGAAGGAAAAGGAAGGGAAGGAAGACAAGGATGAGAAGGAAACCAAGAAGGGGAAGAAGTCCCGCAAAGAACCTCAGACTGACGACGAATCTGACAACAATGGTAAGCGAAAGAGAGGAAATCCTCGGAAGTGTGTATTTGTATCAGTCGAATGAGCGTAAGCCTGATATCGGATTCAGATACAAAATGAGAAAAGGTGCAGGCTGCACGTGTCAACGCGAGGATGACGAATAGGGAGGGAGGGAGGAAGGGAGGGATGATGATGAGGATTTAGTGACCCAGATCATGACGTGTTTCCAGGGGAGACAAAGATGGGCGCCACGGGTGGTCGAGGGATTCGTGGGGACCAACCGCATTACTTGTCTATGACTTCTTCCATCCTGGATTCCGGATACCCAACTTCCCTCTACGCTCCCAATCTCCCTTACTCCCCTGAAGGTATCCCCAATACTATTACAGCATCCTGGTGGCTTCCGGATCGGAATCGATCGACATTCACGTATTTGTGTCCATTACCTTCATTCCAGGCGAGCGCTATCCAGGACACTCCGGGGAAAGTTTCTGTGGTTCCGAGCTGTCTTTGGACGAGAGCAGTGGGTTCGATCAGTTAGAGGAAGGTATCGATGGGAGCAGTGGGAGCGGGCCAGTGCACGACGTAGGCCCTGGTGGCATGGGGCCACCGATCCCCTATCATCACACCAATCCCATCGACAAACTTTATATGATGCAGAACTCATACTTCAGTTCGACGGAGCAATGACGTCCTCACGAGGCACGAGTCCAGCATCTTCCCTCCTCTCCAAAACTGTCCACTCACATTTTGCGCTTATATACGTGAGAGCCCCCGGGGATCTTGCCAGCATTATTAATTGATAATAATTATTATTCCTGAATGTCTTGAATTTATATGGACGTAGCCACGATATGGTTGTGCTTGTGTGTCGCTCGATTCGAGAGTCTTCTGCTCAAGAGTACGCGACATTTGTGATGCTACTTGGTGGAAGAAAAAAAAATACAAGAAATAGCCCACTTGTTTTGTTCATTTCCTTCACATTGTCCACCAAACTTCATGTACGCTTTTCCCGAGTTACACGAATGCACAAATCACATGAATTTATAGATTGAACCCGAAAGCAAGCAGACATTTAGATGAGCATGACACGGACAAATCTCATAGGGATAAATCTGTGTGGTACCATGTAGATTCAAGTGGGTTGAATCAGAGAGAAAATAAAACCGATGGAAGCATTTGGGGTGGATCTGTGCATGGCCTGGGCAACTCAGACTCAAAAAAATGGAAGAAAAACATCGGAACTGCCGAGTAGTAGCGTGCAGACTCAAAAGTTTGGGTGGATGGAGGGCCCCCATGAAGCTTGGGTACCCCCGCACCGACCACTCATAAAAGCTCTTGTCTTGTTTAGGCCACGTGTCCCGTGCAGTTACGTTGAAACGGGCCGGGCTGGGACAGAGCTTGGGGAGGAGGGGGGAGGGAGAAGGTGGGGGATAGTGGACAGTTTCCGTGGGAAACGTTTCCAGAGGGGTATCCAGGCTCCTCAACTGTTTCTACGGTGAAATTTCTTTACTTAACCTGTCAAGTTTTATTTTTTTTATCGTTTTCAGGGGGGAGGGAACTTTTTCCTGCGAGGTCGTACAGCACGAAAGTTTTCTAGCTCAGCGATTGTCCTGTCGAGACCGGTCGAGTCACTCCAATATCTCAGTTACGGAGGGACATATGATCAAAAGCTGAAGGGGTGAGAAGTTGCACGGGGAGAGGTCGTACTGGACTGCGATTCTTAGCATAGATGGTATCATGCCCTTCAACTCCACGCTCTCGCCTTCAGCTTTCGCGCAACCGATGTGATGAGCTTTGGTGTCGGATGAGATATGCGGCTCTTTTATGTTCCGGCTTTCTGTCTTCTGCTACTTTCTCTCCACTTGATTGCTCTCATTCACTCGACTGGGCTTCTGAAGATCCCTTCCACCTGACCACACTCCACCAGGAAGGCGCCTGCACGCTTTCGGGGGCAATCCTAATTTCCTTCCAATGCTTCCAATCCTTCATGTTGTATCTGCAAGAGATGCAACACCGTGAAGTTGAGGAAATCAGCTGAAAATTATCCCATTCCAATATTAGCTAGGGTTTCTTTGGAATCATTATAACTCACTTTCGGTCAGTTTTCCACTGGAATCATCCGTTCTTATTTTAAGAGCAATTCTGCATTAAAAAAAAAAGTGTATTTAAGAAGCCAGAGACAAGATTAAACCCTAGAATATTCTGTAACTTTTCCCCCCTCCTGTCTTTAGTGAAACGTGACGCTAGGTTAACGTCAGGAACTTCAGTCTAACGTCAATGGGCGCTCTTCCCTTCCAACGTGGCGATGTCCACACCTGCGTAAAGCGGCTGTGTTGCAAATTGGCAATGCATAATCGAAGAATCAGATCTACTCAAGACTCGCTAGGTATCTTGTTATCCTCTCTTGCTTTCATGGCAAAATGACGCCCAGTAGATCTCGAAATGGATCGAATGAAACACTAAGTAAGGGAGCTGTCATCTCATAGCATCAGCGAAAGCGAAGTTCAATTTATCATAATGCTCAGCTTTAAAATATATATATTTTAAACATTGAAATTGAGGTCAATCCCAACTCCACTCCAACTCCGAGAAGAAAGTAGAGCTATTCCAGTAGCACGAGTCCAATTTCGAGACGCTGCCCAAACAAAGTAAACAAAAGGCCTGCTGATAGACCGATATTGCGTCAGACACAAATTCCAAGGATAGATATTCGAGATTCCCAAGATAGCTTTCTTATTGGAGAATGTAGGCACAACTAAATTGTATATTGTCACTTCGTTGAGAGTGCGTGAATAGATATCAGATATCAGATGCAAATTATAGCTCAACTTACATTCCAACATGAGAACTCGTGGAGAAACTCGCGCAAAAAGTCAACGAAGAGGGGTAAAAAATTGCATGGAGCCCTCCATCGATCCTACTCTGAAGGCGTGACCCGAGTTGTATGGTCTTAAAATGAAGCAACTTTATCAATCGACCTGTTTTTTTTTTTAACTTTATCATTAAAGATCTTATATGAGTCTTGAGTCCTTCGAGTCTTTCCTCCTCAGCCACGTCCAGCAAATATGCTGGGGTGCACGTCACGATATTGCCAAACATGGGACTCTCCCTTCCAAAAACTGCAGTGAATATGGAAGTTGCATGAAGCAATGAAAGTTTGCAGCATGGGAGGGAGAGGATGGGAGACTGCAGAAACCCGAGCGGAAGTTCTTAGCGTTATTCGTTCGAGGGTGGGAAAAGAAGAGGTATTCTCCCTATCCTCTGCCTGTCACCCAAACCAAGTTCAGGTAGGAAGAGGAGATGAGTTTGGGGGGAAGGGAAGAGGGAAAGCTTTCACCCCGAATCGTGGCATTAGGAGGTCGTTGCATCTTTCCTTCCGCTTCATTTTTCTTCCCTGTAACTAGCGATCACGTGAAATCTCGATCGATATCTATCTATCCATCTATCTATCCATCTATCTATCCATCTATCTATCCATCTATCTATCTATATCAATTTTGTCGAAGAAGTATCACACAAAAGGGAACGCATTGGATAGGAGAAGGAGCGGTACGGATGATGGGATTGGAAGCATGAAGTCATACATTACTTCTCATACTGTCCATGACTATCATACATTGGAAATATTGGTTATTTAAATGAAGAATTTATTTGTCTTTTTTTTTCCAGGTCTGGGGCTACAATACAATAATACAAAGCTAGAAAGAATGAGGAGAGGGAGAGGGAGGAGAATAAGCACTATAGTAGCCGTTTGAAATAGCCCCGATAAATACGTTCATCCTTATTCTCTCTCCTTTTGTATTGCTATTGACTCAGACGACCATTATTGCTAATTGCATGCTTGTCTTAGACGCGGTGAAAAATGTTATTCCTCTTTTCTTTTTCAATTCAGGATCATCTCCATTTGTTCGTCTGTTTCGTGTCCTTGCTGAGCAGCTCGGAATAATGTCGAAAACAGTCATTATTAAGAGTGGCATCCTTGGAAATATTCTTATTGCTTCATGGATGACTTGGAATTTCCATCAAAACGTTTGAATGGAAGACGATGCGATTCTGGGCTAATTTGGCATTTTTAATTGGCTCACAACAGAAATTCAAGATTCATTTTTCGCGCTAAATCTAACCATTCATCAGCGCGGTTTCGAAAAAAAATGGCCTCCTCCTCACTCATCCACTTTTCCAGGTGAAGGGGCAAAGGGTACATTTTACCCCTTCACATTTTATCCAATTACATGCAAGACTAGATTATTGACTGGCATGCGCATATCCTGAAACCCCTCCCCCGTCCCTCGTACCCCCATCCTTCTTCCCCCCCCCCCCCACACCCATTGCCCTCTTCTCCCATCCCAAACTTTCCAGAACCGATGTGAATTCCCCTCTGAATAAGGCCTTTCTCATCCATGCTGATGCATTTAAATTGATCCTTTCTGGAAATTTCCGAAATGGAATCCCCCAAGCAAAGCCAGTCCTCCAAAACTTGCCCTGGCTTGATGTCGTCATCGTGATCCTTCAGAACTCTGGACGGGCGTTGGGGATGTTGCCCCATATGCAAGCAACACCTTGAGATGAATGGCTTCCTCAGACATTCTTTCTACAGGTGATCTTAAAATTCCCAGTTCCCACGGCACACTTACTAATTCTTTGGTGCTACAGGAAAAAAAAAAAAAAGACAAATTTATTTCTCGAAAATGGGAAATTATAAATACCTTTTGTTTCTCCCTTTGTGATGACAGAAGATTTCATTAAACTTTAGCCACATCCAATAAAAGACAAGATGCAGGGGTAATCTGTTATTTATAGACTTCTTGCCATTTGAGAAATCAGATCCTTTGCAAAGTCGTCTGTCTTCCCTGCAAATTAAGACGAATTGCGCCAATTCCTCTATCGCAATTCTCGTCTTCCTCGAAAGGAAGAGATCTTCTCGCAGGTTTTTATATTACTGCTCTGCTTCAGACAAGCTAATCGAAACGATGAACGTGCATCCCTCCGCCCCCTTGCAAATCGTAATGGAAAAGTGAGAGGCGAATGTGGAGTGGTGACGTTGCCCTTAGAAGCAGGGATTCGGCCTGATCTCATCCAGGGCGTGCTCCTACGATCTTCTTTTCTCCCTAAAATTTGCTAAAACACAGAAATGTCTAATCTTTTCCTTATTCAACTTCTTGGCTGAATCCTTTCTCGCATTTACGAAAAGTTTTAGCAAGGAAAAAGACAGAAGTGTATTAAAGCATTCTAAAGTGGCTATCAACTTGACCTACATAATTTGATCTCGCAGATTCAGAAATATTTCGTTTGCAAAGGGAGCGTGTTTTCTTCGCACTTTCCTTTCCCATGAGAAATGGCTTCACAGAAACGTTTCACAGTGCTAAATTTACTGAGAAGGGAACGCATTTTCGCGATTGCCTTCATCCACTCGGCAGCAATGACACTGATGAGCTAAACCATAAATACAACTGTCAAGGCTGTCCATGGCATTGTGAATCTTGAACGAAGTACCAGTGTAGCAAAGCCGATTTTTCTAACGGTGCTCTGAACGTTGCAATTTCTCCCTACCTATACCGTATATTCAGTCTTGGGAGAAGAATTAGGGATCTCTAAGCCATTGAAGTTCTTTCTTTGTTCTTCGAGCCATGCGTATTGGATGCATTTCTCATCAGAGGCCGAAGTGCGCCGAATTTCTTTCAGGAGTTTCGACTTCTAAATGTCATTGATTGGACCCATATCCCCATTGAGCCCCCCAAAGGCAGCGAGGGCCTCTGCATGAACAGGTTACATTTCCCGAATAATTATTGAGGCGATTATGAATTGCGTTGAGTCTCGTTTAAGGTATATCCCTCTGTATC